TTCTCTGATCATTCTGGAGGCCACCAGTCTGAAATTAAGCGCCAGGAGGACCACCCCCTCCAAAGGCTTCTGGGGAGGAGTCTTCCCTTGCTTCTAGTTTCTGTGGCTGCTAGTGTTCCTAGGCTTCCTTGTCTCATGGTCTCCTCACTGCAGTCTCCACCCCCATCTTCACATGTCCTTCTCCTCTCTCTGTGTGTCAAATCTCCCTCTGCCTCTCTTTTATGGCAGTTATGATTGGATTAAGAGCCTACGCAGATAGTCCAGGATAATCTTCCCAAGTCAAGAACCTTAATTTAATCACATCTGCAAAAACTCTTTTTCCTTACAAGGTAACATGTACAGATTCCAGGGATTAGAACCAGCTAACTTTGGAGCCGTTATCCAGCCAATACAGAAATTATAAATGCAACTTGTGGTTTGAAACTCAATTCTGTTAATATAAAGGACATTATTGAGATAATTAGCAAGACTTGAAAGGGATCTGAGAATTCAGTGGTAGTAAATTATTGGTTAATTTCTTGACTGTAATGGTTACATTGTGAATGTGTAGAATATTTTAAATAAATACACATGGAAATATTCACAGGTGATGGTGCGTTAGTTCAGGGACTTATTTTCAATGATTTAAAAATAATTATTTTACTGTACTTCCAACTTTCTGTAAGTTTGTGATTGAAAACAGTAATACCAATAAAAATGTGAATGGAGAAAAAAGGAAGAAAAGGGACCGGATTGAGGGACTATTAATACCTCCAGAGGAGGAAGTGAGAGGTTCAAGCAGAAAGGGAAATTCAACAAAATGATATAGGACTGTTTAATCTCAAGGCAGATCAAAAAGTGTGCTCTTTTCTGAGCTACGTTGTAATCTAAGCGTGTATTTTTCTCACATTCCAGTATTCCTACTCCCTTGCATTTTTTTTCCATCTCTTAGTAGGAGATAGTACATTTTGCTAAAATGACCTTCTTCTGAAAAATTCCCCATGATTTGCCTTTTATCTCTTCCAGCTTTACTCACATAAATAAGAATCAGAAGTCAATAAATTATTCATTAATATGTTTTCTTGAATTTGAGGCTCTAAGCATCAATTATTCTAATAAGGGAAATAAATTGCACTATTAGAACAAAAATGGTTTATATTTTAGATTAGCTACTCCCCTTATAAAATGGAACACAAATAATTGTTATAAACATATATATTCCAAATATAAGGTAAAATTTGCACATGGAAAAATTTACATTCTCCTTCCCTTCAAAAAAGCCTTCTATTGTTTTTCTTTTAAGTGAAAAACAGCATAAAACATTATTTTGGCCACCTACCCCAACTACCTTGTATTCCAGTAAACAAAATGTCACGTAAACCAACCTCTAAGGATTGCGTTTTAATTAACACGATTTTAATTACATGATTGTGTTTTAATGATAAGTGTAACCATCACCTTGTACTCCATTACCACCTTTATGATTACCTTGAGTTTAATGCCCAGATTAATCCAACTGCATACTGCAGCCTTTACAAGCTTGTGGGGTGCACAGTGATGCAAATGGAGACTACTGAAAGTTCTAGAGCTTTCCACTCTCGCAAAAAGTGACTCTGCCTGCAAATGTATTTAAATGTTAATATATTTTCCATCCATATCATTATGTAGTGGAAGATTTTCTGTATGGCAGGAATGTTTTCATTCATTAAATGTTTATTGAATGTCAGCTATGTGTCAAAGGCGTTCGTCTCTCCGTTGAGGAGTGAGTGTTGTGCCCACCTTCACAAAACTTATAATCTATTGGGTGAAACTCTATACTTGGTGTCTGTGTGTCTATAACTCAAGGTGTTAATGACTAATTAATGACTAATGGCAGGATATTCAAATACAGGTAATGGTGAAATACAGTAATAGACTAGGAGGGATGGCAGGCTTGAAAAATTATTACATCAGCTCTCATTCATCTCCAGGGCCACTTTTAAGAAAGAATTAGAACTGTTTATTGTCTTACTCACTTTGGGCTGCTGTAACAAGTATCATAGACTAAATGGCTTAAACAGAAATGTATTTCTCACATTTCTGGAAGCTAGAAAGTCCAAGGTCAAGGTGCCGGCAGACCCTATGTCTGGTAAGGGCACTCTTCTTGGTTGGCAGACAGCTATCTCCTTGTATCCTCACATGGCAGAGAGAGGTAGGAGTGGCTCTCTTCATGAGGGCCCTCATTCCTCCACACTCATAAGGTCACTGCCTCGCAAATCCCCACCTCCTAAAACCATCACTTTGGGGATTAGGGTCTCACACATGAATTTTGGGAGAGCACAAATAGTCCATAATATTTACTGTCTCCAGAGATTCTGCCCTTCCCACATCCTCCCTAATGCAGTCTGTCCTGTGTTTTGAGGTGTGCATGCTCTTTGTAAAGAGGAGCCTGGAACTCACTTATACCTCAAGAAATATGCTCTAGAACAAAAGATTAAGAAAAATGCCAGTGTCACATTAATTCAAGTGTCTGTGTCATTTCATTTGTTTTAAAAGTAATCGTGATGATGAATTTTTAATAAGGGAACCATGGCTACAGGGTTAAAAAATGACGGAAAGAAATCAAAACTGGCACAGTGACTATCACCCAAACTGGATGTCCCATGACAAGGGCTTCTTTGGCCTTCCACTAAATGTGCCCACCTTTCTGGTTCTTCCTGTCTTATCCAACACCAGATCTACTTGATACTGCCACACTTGTTGATCTCCACTGATCTCTGTTCCACATCCACTACCTGTACTCTTTGCTCCTCTCTTTCCTGAGCTTACAGTTACCAGTCCTTCTGCTCTGCTTAAAATGGAGCCCTCAAGGAACATACAACCCGTACAATTATTGCCCCTCTTATTTTCTGTAGACTGCTGTAATTACATGGGTAACTTCCAATGTTTCTACTTTATTACTTTGGGGTGCGTGTGTAACCTCCAGGTTTGTTGCTATTTTAGGTCTAAACCTTTAAGTAATGTGAAGTATTAAAGTAATGGCCTTCGTGTTTTTCTTCTTAAACATGGAAAAGTTTGGACAAACTTTATAATCAGTGTGCACATTCTATACAGAAAATGTATTTAGGACTACAACATGCTCAGCACTGTGCCAGGTGCTATGTAAGATAGGAATCACATGACACTCCTGTCAGATCAAAAGACAATATATTATAAAGAAATGAATTGAATATAATCAAGTATCAAAATACAAAATGCTTTGAGTGCAAGGGGTGTTGAGAAAAAGAAAAAAAAAAAACTACTGGTAGAGCTACCATAAATTCGGTCAGGGACTCAGGGACCTAGAGAGGTGGGAGGGAGGTACTGGATCTAGAGGTTAAAGCACCAGATATAAATAAATGAACAGAAGAGGAGTAAGTTTGATTCAAGAAAGAGAAAGAACAGATACCTTTTACAAGGTTTAGTTTGTAAAGGACCCTACAGAATGAAAGCTCTGACTTTGATCTACTGAGAAATGCAGCCACTGAAAACCACTGGCTAGGGAATGATAAGAGAGTTTTTCTGATAAGTTAGAAAGAATAGGGCAATGATCCAGTTCATATTCAGTTATTAAGAATAAATGACAAAAAGGAGTCAGAACAATACTTGGAACACAAAAAGCACCCAATAAAAATGTTGACTACTGTGAAATAATTTGAGGGACTGGTATGGTAGTAGTGGAAATGTTGGGAAAATAAATCTTATTGGAAAAACAGCAAGATGTGTTTCAAAATATCAGGAATAAAAAGACAACTCCAAGATTTTTTGAGAGGATAACTCTTACGAGACTAACATCTAGATTTTCCTACAGAAACATACATTTAATGACTTTGAAAACATGTACGTTACTGTATAATACTTATTTCAATTCACAGTCAATTCTTTTGGATTCCTGAATAACTGATCAACTTGTAACCCATTTCAACATTTCTAATCTATTCCAACATCAACAAAATTTTCAAATTGTTTGAGTAAATTAGCAAATGAATAGCTGTCCTCGATTTAGAATCAGAGACCTGGATTGACATCTTGGTTCACTCTAGGTAACCTTGCGCATGTTACTGAACCACTCTGAGTCTATTTCTTATAAAATGGGACTACAAATCACTCTAAGGTTTGTTGTGAAGATTCAATTAACACATTCAACACCTGGGCCTTATATTTGAAGATGCTCAAAAAATTTCTTTACCTTCCTCTCCCCTTAGTGAGATAGGAGCTATAGTCTCTAGCCAGATCTAATTGTTCATGCTTTTTAGTTATGTAATGGAATGTAAGGAAAGAGTTGGAGAGTGAAATGGCAATGTGAAAAAACTTATCTTGTGAAATTAAGAAATAGTAATCTAAAAACGACTTCACCCTGGGATTCAAGTTGGTGATCTTTCAGCGTAGTACATGAGAGACCCTAGCTCCCACCAGATCTACCCATACAAGGATGGGCTCCAATATGTGAATTCTTCATCTTCCCTTTCAGGGGACCATTTCAGATTCATCATACACATCCTATTATCCAACTCATTCTGATATATTCAAGCGTGCACATTTCTTGTTAGGAAAAGCAAGGTATAGGCCCCTAAAGGCTGAGTTAGTATCAGGCCATTTTTTGATCATTAAAAACCATTAACTAAAATACAAACAAGAGGGGAAAAAAAGCAGAATTTTTTAAAAAGCATTTTATGAAATCTGAAGGTAACATAATAATTACGAAGTTAAAATGTATTCATTCCTAGATTCAATTAACTAAAGAAATGCATTAGGGATTAGTCATTCACCAGCGGTTCATGTATAGTTTTAATATGAGCCTAAATTAAATGTAGGAGGATAATACTCTCTGGGGAATGAAATATAAATCTAACTTCTATTTTTTATCCACACCATTACTACAATGAAATTCATTAATTTCAGTACAAATTAAGGAATTTTACATAACCATTGAGAAAACTTTAATGTCCTACCATAAAATTCTAGATTAACAATTTTTAAAAAAAGACTGAATACAAACTATCTGAAGACATTAATCAAATGTTTAATGTACCAATTTATTGCATATGTCAGTACAGAAAAATAAAGTATATTTTTAAAGAGATTTATTGTAAAAAACAAATGTAAATGTTTGCTTGCCATGGTTAGCACACAATGTACTATGACATTCAAATTTGAGTTATAAAATTTTATTACTTCAAATAAAATATGGCAAATAACAAAAATGATTTACATTATGAAATGGGATTAACTTATTTTATACTGAACATACTTGAATATGTTAAAAACAACTTGAATTTTCCATATACGCTGTACTGACAGAAATCATTATAAATTATGGTAAACACACACTCACCTGTTACATATGTATATACGGCACTTTTTGTAAAAAAGTGTCTCATACATAGTCCTGTGTTTAAACTACATTTTAAGATACAAAATATAAATGGAGGTATATTTGCGCCATTTGGCAAAAATGTGTAGACTAGTATTAAGATGACTGCATTTGTCTTGCCATACAAATGAATATATTATTTCCAATTTGCTAAAACGATGTGTGTATATATATAGTATTAAGAATAAACAGAAGTACATTTCATTTTCTACCCTATCAATTTAAAAAATAAATGTCTGTGCTCTGTCATTTCCATCTTTACCTGAGTAATATGAAAATACATAAATTTAAGTGGATAATCCAAAAGGGTTACTTATGACTAATTTTTCCTCTCACAGTTTTTAAAAATATATATAATTATCAAACATAATAGGAAAAAGGGAAAGGAGAAGAATCAGTGGAAGATTTCAGTATCTCAATCGTGACTTAAAAAGTGACTTCTGTGACATTCTTTTTACAGTTTACCTTACCTATCCCTATCCTCAAGGAGAAAAGGGTCTCCTAAATCTAAACTGCTCTTAAGCTATCTGAGCTTGAAAGATAATTTACAAAAAATGAAATACGGCCTTCACTCTTTAATTCCCCCAAACCTATTCCCACCAAGCCGAATCTTACAAATGTAAGAAATATGTAAGCATCAGATGGTATGAATTCTCAACAGATATTATAGCATAATTACTCCAGTGACATATTACCAAAACTGGAATCTATGTAATTATCAAGTGTCTACAAGTAATCATAAATTTCAGCAGCCCTGTAGCAAAATTCAGAACACCATTTTTATGAAAATATCAATTTTAACAGTCAAAAACATTGCAGTAACAGGGTAGTTGCAATGTCAAGTGCCACAGCCACTTTTTGTTAGAAATGCTTTGCGTCCAAATGTTTTGCACTATTTCCTTTCACCAATCTCATTATTTTCCCTATCTAAATGTAAAAATTGTGTCACACTTTTCTTTCTAGTTGTTTCTATCCTACTAGTATTCTATTACGTGTCACAAATTATTTTTTCTCTTATTTTGCAGAATTCTTTTTAGGGTCCTTTTTAATATTTTTTTCACCAGTTTTTTCCCCCCAATCATTCCCTTTAAAATAATGGATGTGAGATTTTATTCTAAATGAGCTGTATCTTGCCATATTTAAGATCACTCTAGGATCCCCAAATTTATAGTAACTTAATAACTTAGAGTTCTTTTGTAAACTCCTATAGCTGCTCTTGCATAAAGAAGTCAGAAGTTAATACACAAGATAGGTACATATACTTCCATTCACTAAGCTATGGGTCCAAAGTGAAGGAGTGACTCCTGAAGAAGTCTCATTTTACCAGGACCAATTGCTTTGGCTACAAAACTAGAAATATTTTCAAAAATGATGCCATGGGCTTCATGGACCCTGATACTAAGTTTGTTTTCCACCTCTTACTCATCTAAGGAAACAGTCTCAAATACAGATGCTAGTGAAGAAAGATGTGGTACAGCCCCAGGCACAGCCTCTGCCCTTAGCTGCAGAAAGGAAGGCTCCTTAACCCTACGAAGAGAATGAAGGTAGGGGACGGCAAACAAGTCCTCTACAATTTTTGAAGTCCTGGCTTAAAATTTAAAAAGATAGTTTATAAACCTGGAATATCAAAAAGAAAAAGCAGCATAAAAGCAAAATACTGATGAAGAAACAGCTTTTATACCTCATCAGCATATTTAGAACTAAAGCTGATAAATTTCTCCATAGTGTAATGACTGATTACATAAAAACATAAGGTTTTTTTTGTAAACTTTAAAGAATGATACAAATATAAGGTATGCCATGTAAGCTCGTGTCTAAATATACATTTTGTTGTATTTTCTTTTTAATACATTTATATTTAGAATAGTCATTCTACATAGCAAGGACTGACAAGAAAAGTAGCCTTTAATTGTGGTGAATTTACACATACAAAATACGCCTTCCATGATATGCATTACCAACTTGTTTTAAAAAGCAAGACTTTTTACAATTAATAATTTATAGAAAAACATTATTCTTAGAAATCATACTTGCTATAATTTATTTTTTCTAAACACTGGCATAAAGTGAGTAAGAATGCTATTTGGCAAAAGTATTTCTAGCCCTATCTCCATTGAAAGTTTTAAATTGAGGTCAACATTATTGACCCATTATTTCTCTGTTCTAGTTGCTTGCAGAAAGCCACTAAATACAGCTAAAATATTCAAAATATTATATGTTAAAGCTGACATAATATTACACAAAGCTCAATTACATCTAATTTTTGAGGACTGCATGAAATAACTTGGCACAATTATGACTCAGAGCGTGTATTTTTATTAAGGTATATCCTGCAAGTTTTAAGGGACTTTTTTCTAAGATTTTCTTACTTTTCTATGCATCTAAATCCTACTTCCCACCTATAGCTATTTAACTGCTAAATGTGGTAATAGGTTTTGTGTCAAAAAGCTCCAGAATTCCTTCATTCCCACACTCCTACATGTAAAACTTTTAAAATAAATAAATAAGACTTCCTAAAACTGTCTTTTGATTGTAGGAGTTCTGTTTCACAGCAACTGGAACATTAAACCAAGAACATTGTTTTTTATTGTTGTTGTTTTCAAGAAGTTCAATAAATGATATCTTGCCTTTGATAGGATAGATATAACTAGGTACTGGGACTTAAAATCAAATGTGAGAATTTTTTAAAAGTAGTATGTACAATCCTGTAAAGATAAAAGACTTCCTCATTTAATTCTAACTAGTGCTAATCTTCATTATGACTGCTATGAGTGGTTCAGCTGAAGACTTACAAAATCGATAGAAGCTAAAATTCTCTTTGCCACCAAAGTTACAAATGTTAAAAAGTTGAAATATGCACATCAAAGCTGCAGTAAAATTCTAAATTTCTATTTCTACATGCCATGATCCAGACTGTACCTAACAAAAACACGGTACATTTATATTGGAAAACAGGGTCCCATTTATTTGTAAGAAAAAGCTGGATCTCAGCATTCACCAGAGCAAAATTCAATGGCGACCTGCACACAGGTCTCAATTTCACTTCTTGCCAAAAACAAAATAGAGTTTACATAAAAATAGATATAACCCAGATAACCATATACATCAGTATATGACCAGTGCTATTTACATGTAAAATGCTGCATTGCATAATTCAAGGAATAAAATACCATCATGCATTTCATTTAACTTTTAAGGTGAAAAATGCAGTTACAGAACTAAGTTTGCTTACCATGATTGTCCCAATATTTACTTAAGAAATAATACCCAAAGGTTTCTTGTTTACATATCTCTTTCCACATCTAGCTATTCATCTGTGTAACAGATTACACCACTTTAGCAACAAGAAACTTTTGAACAATATCTAATATACTGACATATTAAACTAAAGATATGAATACATAACCACATTGAAAGTTTTGATGAAAATGTATGAAATAATCCCAAGAATTATAGTTTTTCAAATGTAAAAAACTATTTGGAATATCATAAAGGAGCAGTGAAGTCCTTTCAAAGTTTAATGTCACTCTTCAGACAGTACAGACGTAACACACTTCTAAAAGGAACATTCTTTATCATTCTGCACAAATCAAAATACAGTGCAATAATCAAAAAGGGAAACATTATATAATTGTTACATTTGATGAAGTTTTTGCCATTTCTTCAGGAGAATGGCTCTTTACGACTTCTTTGATGAACTGTTCCAGTGCAGTGAAATAGCCTTGGCACTGCCATGTATCATTGTGAGTCCCATCTGGAAAAATGGCTAATCTCTTAGTCCGAGATGGGGAGAGTTCATAAAGTTGTTTCATCATTACTGGAGGAATTAATTGATCTGAGAGTCCAGAGATGAAAAGAGAAGGCATTCTACACTGAGATATTTTTCTGTAGGACAAAAATTTATTTTTGTAGCACCATAAAGGAAGGTAACGCATTGGAAAGAATGAAAATAAAGTGCTGGCCATATGTGGTATGCTTAAAAATGTGTTCTCCACCATAATGGCTGAAATCCTATGTGAATTTTCAGAAGCCAAATGAATAGCCACTGCTCCACCCAAGGAACGACCAAAAAGAAAAATTTTTGTTTTATCAAGGTCAGGTCTAGTCATCACATAGTCTAACACAGCTTCAGAATCTAAGTAGAGTCCTTCTTCACTTGCTTCTCCTTCACTTTTTCCATATCCTCGATAATCAACCAGCAAAAGGTTAACTTTGAGGTTAACCAACATAAGTAATGCATTTGGCAACCTGTGACCTATGTTGCCTGCATTCCCATGAAAATAAATTATAGTGGGGGAATAGGGTGAATTGTCTCCAGTGTATCGTATCAAAATAAGATTCAGACGTATCCCATCTTTGGTTCTGATGAAAATATTTTCATGTGGAATGCCAGTGGGCATGGGAACATAAAGACGTGAAGAGGATGGCTGTTCTGGAAAATAAAGCAGTACATCCTGGAATTTATACAGAATACCTGCGATGGATATGAATATTAACAAAAGTAAGATAATGCCTCCATACAGATGAAAAGTCACTATTAAAGGTAAAAGAGAAATACGGCAGAGGGCCCAAGACCATGAAGCCAAGGCTATCAGCCATCTTTCAACAAAGTTCCACAGCGTCCAGGACTTCTCCATGGTAGCTCTCTGTAAGTATCCTAGAGAGAGAGAGGGAGGATATTAATAATTCAACATGTCTCTGTTATTTTTTAAAAATCAATAATATAATAAACTATGGTACTAGGCCACATGTAATTGTTAAATATGGTAATAGGTATAGTCCATCCACAAAAGTAGCTGCTGTAATCTCCCTTGTCCTTTCTGTTCTCATATGTTTTACCATATCCCTCCACTGTCCTATTTATGAAACACTAGTATTCTTCAAATTAATTTATTTTTAAAAAGTGCTTATTTACGGCCAGCTACCTTCATTTATATGTTTTCACTGATTTGACCCCCAAAAAAGTTGATGCAATAGTGTCATTTTTTTTTTTTTTTAATGAGAAAACAAGCTCGGGGCATAAGTAGACTGGCCATCATCTGGCTCTCAATGTAGAAGAGCTGGGAGGCAAACAAGTGGTACATTTACTGTTAGGTTACATATGTCCAGGGCAAATTGAACTGAAGAGGCAGTTCAGAAATTCTAACATAGCAAGACCAATCTAATATACTTTGTCAATTTTTTTCATATACTGTAGCAAAAACTAAAGAAACTAGGATAAGGCGTTGGGCAAAACAAAACAAAATTTAAAAAAACAACTAGGGAAAGAAAGAATAAAAGTATCCCCCCTTTACCTCGAAGTTTTAATACTAAACTTAAATAATTTACTTAAACACTAGATTCTAATATTGTATTATTTTTAAGAAAATGATTAATGATTTATCTTTCATATCTAATTAAAAATAAATATCATATTCCTAGTGTCATGAGATTGGCAGTATCTTTTATATACTCTTTTTGAAGTTTCACATCCTGGGGTCAATAGATTGCTAAAATGTATTGATAAGGCAATAAATATTTGAGGGTTCAGTGTGAAACAAATACACAGAAATCCTCTGAGAACCAGAGATAAATAAAGTAAAATGACTCATTGGAGAACAATTTTTAAAAAGATTACTAAAATATTTAACTGATATAAAGAAAGTAAAGAAAAAGTATTAAAATAGAATTTTTGTTTTCAAAAGGTTTATACATGTTGTCTTAAAAAGGCAAAAGAATTGAGGTATGTTACAAATTTTCTTATATACTATTCATCTACTTATGCTTATTTACTGAATTTTTAAAAATACATTTCCTTCTTTCCCACTAACTGAACTGCTATAAAGAAGTTATAGACTGATTATACAAATAATGAGTTGGATGATTTAACAAATTTGATTTTTTACTATTATTTCACTAAACATAGACTTTTACATTTGAATTATTATTCAAATGAACTGAACCTTTTTGAACATAAACCATTTTTCTCTGATTTCCCAGAAATCAACACTGCCACCCAGTGGTAGCAAGTTTTATTACAGTATCATATCCTCCCTGAATAACTACTTATCACCTATCTCCTGTCTCAACTGCCTTTTCAGTAGAATGAGAGTTTTTTAAATGCTTACCTATAAGGCTGGTCATTAGTATCAAGTAAGATTAATAATAAGATCATTCATAAATGTTATAGACACGTTAACTGTATTTGCTTTTGTGACTACTATTTCTGGCTCTACTTTCTTAATGTGTTCTGCTCAAATTAGTTCTTACTTAAAAAATTATTATAAAACCAGATAAAACAGCTCCAAATATACGAATAAAGCATAATTTAAAATGTGAATTTTACATTTACATTTGTATCAATCTACATAAATTTTCAACTTATGAACTTTGAAAAGTTATTTGCGTTTTAGTAGCCTCTAACATCTAATTTTAGCAAACAATACTGAATTAAAATTTATAATGCTAGGAAGTGTATTTCTCTTTTTTCACTATTATATCTCTAACGTCTAGTACAGCACTTTACATATACTTATGACTAAAACATTTTTAAATAATCTAATTACATATACAAATTATTAAATTTATTTTAAAAAATAAAAGTATTCTTAGCAGTGGGCATATATGTTTAAAACAACATCAGAAAAAGGGGCATATTTGTTTGGGTCTTTTACTGGCTAGGAATAATAAGGGATAAACTTACAGTTTGCCACAAAACATTCCTGAAAAGTCACATTAACTAAACTGTTTTGTGATAAACAATCATAATCTTACAATGAGTTCTTGGACTACAGAAGTCAGAATAAAAGTCAATTCATCTTGAGTAATATCAAATGGAAGTCATTGTTAAGAACAGGTTAATAAAAATTGCTCTGGGGTGGTGGAGTGCGTGGGTATTGGTGTGTTTTCTCTTTAAGATATTCTTACATTGGTGGTTTAGAGTAAGAACTCCACTCACAGATTGCCTTATTTTTACCTAACCCCGCTTGCTAATAATCTCTGTTCCCTAGTCTGTATGATATTTCCATCTCAAAGATGATCTTAAAGGAATCAGGACAAGTGAACAGTATCAGGAAGGATTTTTAATTTACTGAATTTGCTGAAAAGTATCAGCAAAGCACAATTACCATGCACCATCTGCTGAGATGTAAAAACAACTTCATACCCAGATGTTATGACAGTCACTAAAAACAAACACTGCCTCTAATAATTAAAGTCGACTGCATGGATCCTACAGCCAGCATTATGTTTTCTATTTATTTTGTCAATAAATTAGTGTGAGTAAAGGGTTAACAAAACCTTTCTCCCTCTTCAGATAAAAAATGACCTCTCCTTAACCTTCCTGCACTGTTTCCCTGGAAACCTGATAAAGGTGGGATATCAGTTGTGTTTCTAAGCAACAGTGTAGTAAAAATGGCTCCTACTGATGAGCTACATCTGGATTGAGAGGACAGTGAGCAGGGCTAAACATGCCCAGTGGGAAGTATAAACAGGGGCTTTTCTGAATCGAATATGACTTGTAATTGGCTTGTCATTTGCTTAGTCCTGGATGCTATACTCATATGCTGTTACAAAAAGACACTGTTTCCTGTGGAGCATGAAGCAGCTAAGCCGGGGTGGTGCTCACTCCCACCCTTGTGTCATTTTCCACTAGACCTGAGCTATCATCTGGGAACAATATACCTAACACTGACATGTTGGGTTTTCAAAAAAGCAGAGAGGCTGATGCACAGTACGGTTCACTACGGTCTACTGGGTCTTGTGAGCATCAATGTCTAGCTGACCCCAAGACCACTGCTACTAGTCATGAAGAATGAGTGAGGCAATCAAGTATGTCCTATGTGGTAAAACACTTATAAAATGTGTCTTCAGAAGAGACGTATTATTTGTCAGGTTCTTCTGCATGTGAAATCCATTTGCTGAGATCTTAGCATCATAAAAATCAGAAAAAAGGATGCATTTAATACACTCAAACTTATATCAATTAGAACGGCTGCTGAGTGGGAGAGCCCATCAGATCTGTTCTACGTAGAATACAGAAATGTAGATAATCAATAACTTCTCATCTTCCAGTCTTCTTTTACATCATTATTGTATGTATTTTTAACCTTGTGTCTACATCTTAAATGAATACATGACAGTCCCATTACTCAATTTTCTGTTTGCTGTGTTATCAGATCTGGTATTACATGTCAAACATTTCTAAAACCCACCAATCTGTGGTTTTAATCATCCCCAGTAACTCCTTAACCATTTACTATCTGAGAACTTGCTGAGTTCTCATAATGATCTCTCATAAAATGCAAACTTCACTTTAAAATAAATCTAGTGGATTTTTCTCAATCCACACTGCAACACCAGACCCCCAAAGTGTCATCTGCTGTTGGCTTCTCCTCTATACCCAAATTGCTGTTTCTCTCTGCCCTATACCCCGAAAAGCAGACATTTTCCAAGGTCTTCTCCACTCTTTTATGTTATTATGTTCTTTCCCTCACTGATTTCATTCCTTTTCATGGCTCCAATTATCACACCTGTGTATGAATTATTCCCAATCTACAAGTCTACTCTTCATCTACAATCTTAATTTACCTGTTCCTCACGTACCTGATGCTTCACTGATATTTCAAACTTATCCAAAACTAAACGTATCCTGCTCCCTTCCCAACGTTTTGCAGGCTTTATGCTAATTATGCACACAAAAAAGCATGATGTGTAAACAAATGTATTTTTTAAAAACCCAGGATATGTAGCTAAGATTTAAGTGTTACAGTTTATTATAACCTGTACCAGTCTTGTATTTGAATGAAAAAAAAATCAACCTTAGAAATAACTTTTGTGCTTTCTAAATGAAGTGGTTTGAAGTGTCACATTGACATTAGTGAGTGTGTCTCAAAAACTAATCTACTGAAAGCATGACTAATCTTTATTATCATGTACGGTATAAATTAGATATGATTGTTTTCCTTTTAAAAGAATGGTTTTGTCGTATTAGTGACATCCTGCTATACTACATAAGTAGTTTGATCACCTGAGGCAGTTTTAGATATGGTGCTCATCTTGAGGATTTACGGTCCTAATTGGCTTGTTGTAGTCACCTCTAGTGCTCCCTACTTACTGTCTCTAAATTTAAGTCCATTATGGGTATATAATAAACAATTTGAGACTAAAAATAAGAGCAGTCTAGAACTGTAACGCTCTCACACCACCTTGCTGGCTAACAGTGTTAGCTGAATGGTAAGTCAGCTAATGGCATGAGTGATGGCCACGCTTATCTGATGTCTACTAATCATCTCCTGTGTTCATACAGGTACCTGGAGGATCACAAACGGTTCCATTTTTAAAGAAAATTATTTAATTTAAATAACTATTTTATAAACTGATGCTTTAAAAAAAGAGATCAATATTAAAGTCATGCCCACCATGAATGGAATGAGTCCTCAGAATATCACTGCAGGCTCCCAGGGAAGCTATGAAATCCAGCATGCACCACTGAAGCAGGCCTATAGTTGATTTCCCAGCCTCTTCCAGAAGAGATGGTCATCAGATTCCAATGCATCCTAATATACTATACAGCCCTTGCTCTCAAGAGGCTTGTGATCTACTCAGTAATGTTCAAGCGACTCTTGAGCTACTCAGGAGACAGATATGGATATAGATAACTACATACATCTAACATAAGTTCATTTAATTATAGAGCAGACAAAGAAAAATCAAAGAAAAATGACAATTGTCCTTACAAACAGCAAAGGAAAATCAAAACCTTAGCTATATCTTTCCTTCACAACATAATTTTAGTAGTCTCTGGATTTCATCAAGGTTGATTACTTAGAGAAACCAAGTGAAACTTACGCAATGTTTTAAAAGCAGGACAAAGCATAACTCCAGAACTAAGAATCTCTTTTACTTTCCATCAAACAGCTGTCTGTGACACTTATTTTTATTCATTTAGCACAATTATTCACAGAAACTGCAAGTATTCAGCATAATCTAAATAAATACTTGGCAAGGATAGCATAGAGGAATTTAGAGCTGTTAAACTGGATGAACTTTGAGGGTTCTATTAAATCTGAGATCTTTCTATGCCAGTGGTTCTCAAAAGGTGGTCAGAAACCTGAGAGTCCCCAAGACCCTCTAATGGGGTCCACAAGATCAATATTATGCTCATAATAATACTAAAATGTCATTTACCTTTCTCACTGTTTGACGTGTGCACTACTGGTGCATAAGCAATGATGGGGAAAATTGCTGGTGACTTTACAAGAATCAAGGTAGTGGCCTCACATGTTGGAGTCACTGTATTCTTTACCACCATGAGCTCACAGTAAATGAGGGAATAATCCAGTTCACTTAAGAACGTCAAAGAAGTAGTAAAAATTATTTTATCTCAACTAACAAGTACACATCTTTTTAACACATTGTGTGATAAATGGGTGACAAAATTGGAAGTGCACATAAAGCATTTTGTGCTATGTACTGAAATACATTAGAATTGTGAGCTAAACTAGCTGCTTTGTTCAGGTGACAACATTTTTATTTAAAAAGACAACTGACAAACTAAGGCTGTTCAGACTTAGAGGTTTGGCAGATATTTACTAGAAAATGAATGAGGTTGCCAATAGCTCCGCGACACTTAAGAGACCTTTTTGCTGGCACTGTGGTAATCTATTAATATTAAATGTGTCACCATTTGGAAGAATCTGCATAACTCAATAAACCAATATATTCCAAATGACCAGTGAATGGTGTCACAAAATTAAGCAAACATGAGTAAAAAATTCACTACAAATCAATAGATTTTGATGTAACAAGGGACAAAAATTTCTCTGATGTAGGTTTCAGATGGCATGACGTAACTGACCTCTAAGGAAGTGCCTCCTGTTGAGTGATGGAGTCAGTCACACCAAAGAGTATCCACAGTTCTCTATTACAATACTCTTCCCTTTACAACGACAAATTTGTGTGAGCCTCACTTCCTTCATGTTTCACTTAAAGAGCCCAATAATCCGCCTGCCTTCTATGAGGCAGAAATTAAATTACAAAAGTATAATCCCTCACCTCTACTTTTTGTAATTAAAATTGTTTTATATAAAATTTTATTTATGTGAGTATGTAATGAACTTACTACTGCTATTTTTAAATGAATTAAAACTTCCAGTTTTAATGTATACACTTTATAAATTTCCAGGTTTAATTTCTAACACAATAAATATCTATATAATCCACATACATACAAAAAAAAATCTTTGGGATCTTTACATTTCTAAAATGTAAAGGGGTCTGAGACCAAAAAGCTTGAGAATCACTGTTCCACACTATTTAACCATATAACTTTATTGCCTTATGCCCCAAGACTTGCCCTCTTCAAATTAAGAAAGATATATTACATTTATCTAAACCCTTTCTGCATTATAACATACGTAAATATATTTAAGGTTTTTACCCAGTAATATTTTCTCCGAAAATTAAAAGTAAATAAAAACTTAAATATATCAAGAACTGAATTCAAAAGTATAGTAACACATTTTAATTATTGCCGTAAGGTTAGTAGGAGAGTAAACTAGACAAAATCTACTATATCATAAATAACATTTTACAATAAAAATTATATTTTAATGAAGGTCAGAACTGCTCTACAAATTAAATTCTAGTTATTTTAATTACTTTTAATTAAAAAGTGTACATTGGGCCAGGCGTGTGGCTCATGCGTGTAATCCTAGCGCTTTAGGAAGCCAAGGCAGGTGGACTGACTAAGCCCAGCAGTTTGAGACTAGTACGGGCAACATGGTAAAACACTGTCTTTACTAAAAATTACAAAAAAATTAGCCAGGCATGGTGGCACGTGCCTGTAATCCCAGCTACTAGGGAGACTGAGGCACGAGAATCACTTGAACCCAGGAGTCGGGGTTGCAGCAAGCTGAGATCGTGCCACTACACTCCAACCTGGGTGACGCAGTGAGACTCCGTCTCAAAAAAATAAAAGTGTACATTGTATTGCATGTTGTATATCGAGTTATGGATTCTGCCACTAGCAAATGGTCTTTTAAAAATACAAAAAAGTGCATTACCCATAGGTGAATTACAACGAATTTCCCAAAAACAATTTGGCAAAAGGCTAAACAATTTCAAATACAATTAAAAAGTCCTAAGTCATAAATGTACTATTATTTCTTTAAAGGTCTTTAAGTCCATCCTAAATTGATAATTTTGGGAACAGCTTGTTTAAAAATAAAAACAGTTCATACATTAAAAAAAAAAAAAGATGCCTACAAGTAGAAAGAACAATGTGCAGGTTCAAGTGAAAACTGTAAAAAGTGGAAAGTGAGTTCATGTGTCAATGCCAACATCCACATCCCAGCAGAGAATGAGGACCCCACACCCCATGGTGCTCATTAATGACTCTGGGTGAATCACAGCTTCCAATCACATGTGAAGTAATGTGGAACTCAGATTCAGTATTGTTACATCAATCTCTCTCCTCTTCTGTTAAGCATTGGGAAGTTAAGAAACCATGCCAGCTGCACAGCTAAAATGGAAACACAAATAGCTGCTATCAAGGTGTTGGAGACACCACAGAATGAATTATCTATTTCCCTAATGGTTACCCACATGCCATCAATAATGAAAAAGTGTGTATTGATAGTCCTATGGGACAAATGAACAGTAATTGCCTATGGAGATGCTGGATAATATCTGGATAGTTCAGACAGCATTTTTAACTAGGATTTAAATCTGTATGAGCAAATAGCTCAAAAATTATACCAGGCAGCAACTTAGTAGCTTTTTCGTGCTTGAAAATCTTGGCAAATAGAGTCAACTCTGGCAGAAGTAAAATGAGAGATTATTGTCACTATGGAAGCCAACCACAATTTGTTCTGAGATTATAAATATCTGAAATGTTTAAAAAAAATCCACAAGCCTAAAACTGTAGTGATGTTAGACTGATAATGAAATTCACAAAGTTTCCAATTTATAAATGGGCAATGTTCTAAAACTTTACCTATAAACTAGATGGATGAAACTCAGAATATTTGTTTTGTATAAAACCAGTGTTATGCAACATTAAGTATGTGAAAGTAAGTACAACTAGAAGCCTTACTAGAAGTATCGAGATTCTCAGGCTAGCTCATCAATGCCTGTAGTCCATGTACTGGAAATACTACATCTTTGCAAGGGATTTCAGCAGAATGCACTGTTGTAGGAGTTAACACCGTGTGAAATAGAAACATAAAATGTAATAATGGATTACAAAATCTGTCATTTGAGGAAAACTATCTTCATTAGAAGAACTGGAGCATTTTTTAAGTCTACACACACACACAAAAAGGCTGTTTAAAGGTCTTAAGACTTTCTTGACGCAACTAAACAAGGATTAGAAAGATTTCAAAATCTGAGTAATACATTAAACAGAGAAACAGAAATAGATTCCCCTGAGATAAGTTATGAGGACAGATCATGGGAAAATGTTAGTCCAACAGCTTCCTGCACCTATCACTAAGTTATATTGTTAGCCCAAGGCAATTTGGTTAGTAAACCCTCTTATTCACATGCCAAGAGGCCTTTGATGTGCCCAAGAAGAGGGCAGTGTGCCAAGAGCTACCTGTAGGTACCTGGCTTGCTTTCATCATTCCAAGTTAACTATCAATTGGAGGCAGTGCAGTGTGGTGCAATGGAAAGGAGACAGTGTTTTGGGTCATGGTCTGTTAATAGATAGGTAGCTTTTGCCAACTCACTTAGCTCTCTAAATATATATTTCCTCATATGTAAAAGGAGGATGAAAGATTAAATTGAAATACTGTTGAGATAAAATGTAACAGTGTGTTAAGTGCAGCTACTTCTATGAGACAAAATTTAAATTAATTATCTACTATAGCAGAGTATGTGAAAGTAAGGACAACTAGAAGTCCTATTAGTCCTGGATTAAATAATGGATATGATTCCCTAGAGGCTACCGTATCCGAACACAGGAAGTAATCAGAGCAATGCACTCTTTTTCTGTTAAAACCAAACTCAGGTAGCAGATCCTCCAAAAAGCTTTCCTTGGACCCCTACTCCCTCCTGCCATCCATTCCATATTCTGTAGTTTGTGCAAACTTACGTGGCAGAAGTTACTATTATAGCGTAATTAACCTGCTTACACAGGCTGTGAGTTCCTTGATGACAGAGACCTCATCCTATCCAACTCTACATTTTTAGTATGCAGCAGTGCCTGATGCATAGTGGGCCTCTATTAACAACTATTTAATTGAGCAGCTGATGTCTTAGGTAGGATATCATGGCATTAACACTAAATGGGCAATCACGAAATCTTACACAGTAAAATAAAATTTGATATTTTAGTCAAAGACGAGTGATTTCCCTAAGCATGCATACCAATAAGTATTGATCCACGAACCCTCTCCCGTCAAAAGAGATCAGCGAAAATCCAATACCAACACACAAAGCCAATATACTCATCTCTCTCTATCCAGTTACTATCACATAGTAAACATAAATAAGAGTTGTTAAATGGGGATGTACTTTTTTTTGGTTTTGATACCTTGGGCAGTAACACTAGTAATTCATTTTACTGAAATGTTGACTAAAATCTACAGCAAAATTGACTTCGATTGCATGGGGTGCTTTTTTGATGTTTCCTGAATACCCCAGAACTTCCTGCCCTTATATTCACAGGTCTAAACCTGTTACTGGCGTGATTAGATCGGGACTCTCCCTTTCTCCAACCTAGTAGCTGGAATTATTCTATTTTACTTTTCATGTCTGTGGGGGAGACGAGAGTTGGATTTTAAAGATCGCAGGTTTGCACACATTACTGGAAATGCAATTGACACAGAACACTAAGATACGTTTTCGGTTCCAATTACAAAACGACACCCGGCGAGCCTCTGGCAATGCGCGCACCTTAGTTTCCAAAACAGGTATGTGGCTTCAGTTTGCTGCCCCTGGTGAGGGGTGAGCGGAGTAAGGGCGGCCGGCAGGGCTGCAGCCCGGACCGGCACGGCGCCCCGGGCTGGTCCTCCACAGCCCCCGGTGCTCGGCCCCCTCACGACCCCCCCGGGAAGCCGCACTGGCCCCGGGGCTCCCCCCACGGCCTCCCGGGAGGCTTTCGCGCCTGCCTTGAGGAGCCGGCGGCTCCCCACGACCCTCCTAGAAGGCGCGGACCGGCGCTCGGGCCCCGCGGGCTCGGGGTCCCCAAGCCGCACTTACTCAGACTCGCGGGCAGGCTGCGCAGTCGGCCGCGGGCACGAAACCGGGCGCCGCGCAGCAGCGTACCCCCGCGTCGCTTCCGTCGCTCCTCATCATCCTCCTCCAGCCCAGGGGCCGCTGCCGTCGCCACGGTCTAGCCCGGAGCTCCTGCGGTGCGCTGTGGCCCCACTTCCGGCCCCCGCTCGGGTGTCGCCGGCAAATGGCCCCGCCGGCTCCCACATAACCTGTTCTCCGTCTCCGCTCCCGGAGTGGGAACCCTGCCCGCTCTCCCGAGCATGCGCAGAAGCCGCTGCCCGGGGAGCCCCCGCGACGGTGGCCCGGACGGAAAAGATACCTCGGCGGCGTGGGCCCGGCTCCCTGTTCCAAGACCTGGGGATCTTGGCCTTCAACCTTCCTCCGAGCACCAGGAGTCCCTCCAGTTACGTACCCCAGGCCTCCGCGGTGAAGAGGTGCCTGACCCGATGAGCTCGGGAGTCCACCATCGCTCTGCAAACCGCAGGTTTGCGGAGGAATTTGTTCTGCCTAATAGGGTTGTTAAGGGTGTCGCAATGAGGTCCAGGATTTAAAGCGCTTCTGTTTTTCTCCTTTTACCCCTACCAGAGTGGAGACTGTCAAGGGCGAATGCAGGTTTTGTGAGGCCTGAAACTTGTGCCATTTGGAGAGCCCTTTTAAAGAAAAATAATGTAAAATTATCTTATTTTTGCAAATTTTACTGAGGAACACGACCATGGGAACACCTCGTTAGGGCCCCTCTCAAGGCCTTGGAAGTGTTCACCACAAAAATGGGCCCTTGAAACTTCGGCTTCATTAGCTTCACTGTCAACCCCCCTGTGCACTGAAGTGTACACACTTGTTTGTTTACAGATGTGTGCCTCCCCCTCCCTTGGGCTTTCCTTATTCTATATCCCCTATTTTGTATATACAGAGGATATATCATAAATTTGTGGGTTTCTTTTTTTTTCCCCCTTTTGAGACGGAGCCTCGCTCTTGTCGCCCAGGCTGGAGTGCAATGGTGTGATCTCGGCTCACGGCAACCTCCGCCTCCCAGGTTCAAGCGATTCTCTCGCCTCAGCCCCTCAAGTAGCTGGGATTACAGGAGCCCGCCACCACGCCCGGCTAATTTTTGTTTTTGTTTTGTTATTGTTTTGAGACGGAGTTTCGCTCTTGTTGCCCAGGCTGGAGTGCAATCGCAAGATCTCGGCTCACTGCAACCTCCGCCTTCCGAGTTCAAGCGATTCTCCTGCCTCAGCCTCTGAGTAGCTGGGATTATAGGCAAGGGCCACCACGCCTGGCTAATTTTGTATTTTTCTTTAGTAGAGACGGGAGTTCACCATGTTGGCCAGGCTGGTCTGGAACTCCCGACCTCAGGTGATCCGCCCACCTCGGCCTCCCAAAGTGCTGGGATTACAGGTTTGAGCCACCGCACCTGGCCTAATATTTGTGTTTTTAGTAGAGACGGGGGTTCACCATGTTGGCCAGGCTAGTGTCGAACTCCTGACCTCAAGTGATCCGCTCACCTCAGCCTCTTAAAGTGCTGGGATTACAGGTATGAGCCACCGACCCGGCCTGTGGTGGTGTTTTTGTTGAACATATGTGTCTTGCTACCGGATCGAGAGCTCCAGGTCAAAGCTGGGTTCTTGATTCATAGCTTCCTAATGTCAATTACCGAGTAAGTGCCAAGCACTAAAGTACACCATCTACATAAGTAAATTAATAATCATGGCAACTCTAGAAGATAGTGGAAAAAAAACCCTTGAATGTCTTTGAACCAAGCAACTAAAATAACATGATAAAATGGAGACTGGGCTTTAAATCAATTTGGAGTTTGCCTGGTTTCGTAATTCATGGTTCCTCTCATGTAACTAATACAGAGTCCAGCTTCTGACATTGTAGGAACTCAGTAGAGGTTGAACAAGGTACAGATGTACACAAATAGGTACCCTCTCATAAGATGGGCAAATGGAGGCTCCTCTACCTTAACACTGTTCATTTTTTCCTCCAAAATAAATTGATAACTAAATTGAAGAGTAGATACCAAACAGTATCATGAGACTTTACAACATCACAGATGAGTTTAGATATTCAGGCTACTTAGGTCAATTAGACATACAAAGTAAATAACTGAATGTTCTTGGGCTAGACGGAACCCTAAGTTCTAGCTCCACCACAAACTAGCACTGAAAGAAATGTGTCAGTTTTGAAAAACGAGGTTTTAATACATTACACCACCTCTAAGGCACTTAACAGCTCTAATATGTTTTATCAGGGCCCATTGCAGCAAAATTTGTTTTATCGTAAAGCAGTATTTTATGCTAAAATAAAATAGTTCTAAAAGTTGTTCCCACCGCTCTTTATGAATAACTTCTCACTTCTCCATGGCGAAAGAGGACGGCCCACAGCAAAAATTCGGTGGAAACCAACAGCTCCTGGAACATAAAAACTGGGATTATTTTTAATCTCTCCACCCTGAATATCTAGCACCATTACTATATAATAATAGGTGCTCAATAAAGGTTTGTAAATAACTTTATTTTTAATCCTTAAACAGATACTAGAAGAGTCCATAGTTAATTTCTGGTCATGCAACTGTTTAATTCTGTATTGTAAATTATGTATTGTTATGTATTATTGCTCTATTAAGAGAACTCAGACCACAGTAGCAAACATCATGAAAAAAAAAAACAGCTCCATATAGTTTGCAAAAGCCTATTTTTTTAAAGTTTAAATGAAACAACCAACTTTTTGAGGTGGGATGCCCTGTTCTCTCTTGGGAGCTTTCACAAGCAGCGAAATAGTATAGTTACCACTGTTTTACGTACAGAGAACAAGAATTAGAGGCTATCACTAGCCAGGGCACAAAGTGATCTTAGGTCTCCCTCAAGACAAAATCCACTGGCGTGCGGATCAACTGCTTGCAAAGAGCATCTGCTGCTGAGGTCAATAGGAGCCGTGTGTACTCAAGACCCTAACCAGGATGCTCCAGGTCCCGCCTCCCCTGCCCCGTGGGGCTGCCGGCCCTCCCACCTCCCATCGCGAGGCCGGCTGCGCCGGCGTCCTAGAGCCCAGTGATGGCACGGCCTCGGGTCTGCCCTGCGCCTGCGCGGCCAGCAGCTGGCGGAAGCGGCATCTTCTGGCGCCAGCTTCCGGCTTAACAGCTGAGCCTCAGGCTTGACGTTAGGTGGGAAGTGTGTGGGGTGGCAGGTGGGGGTTGGGGGGGAGTTGGCATGGGGGTGGGGGGATGAGGTGTGGCAGGTTGGGGATGTGGAGGGAGTCAAGCGGGGGGTGTGGTCCAGCAGGCGGCGGAAAGGCTGTGGGGCAGCAGACCGGGGACAGGTCTGTGGGGCGTCAGGTTGGGGTCTGTAGGGTGTCAGGTTGTGGGTTTGTGGTGCGTCAGGCGGGAGATCTGTGGGGCGGCAGGTGGGGGGTGTTCGGGGCGGGGTTTGGGGTGTATGTGGCGGCAGGAGGAGGGGGAGGTCTGTGGGGAGTCAGGCAGGGGGTCTGTGGCGCGTCAGTTTGTGGTCTGTGGCGCGTCACGCGGGGGTTGTGTGGGGTGGCAGGTGTGGGGTGTGTGGGGAGTCAAGTGGGGGGTATAGGGCGTCAGGTTGGGGGTCTGGGGGACCAGGTGGGGGGTGTCTGGCGGGGCTTTTGGGGGGCGTCAGGCGGGGGTTGTGTGGGGAGTCAAGTGAAGGGGATGTGGGGCGTCAGATTGGGGGTCAGGTGGGGGGTGTCTGGGACGTCAGGCGGGGTATCTGGGGGTCGTCAGGCAGGAGGTCTAGGGGCTTGAGGCGGGGGTCGGTCTATGGAGCGGCAAGCAGGGCGTTTGTGCAGCGGCAGGTGATGGGGGTTGCCGAGTTCATGGCGCTATAGACTGCTCCGCATTAGAAGCCTGGCCTCTTGATGCTGTGCTCTTATCTAGACCCAAGCCCCAGGTCGTGGGACGATTTCTCCCATTTTTGACTCCCTGAAACTGTGTTGCCTGCTTTACCTGCTTACATGCTGATGCTTTCTCATGGCAATCCCGCAGGAAACCATCAAGATCTCATTTTACAGCTGGGTTTCCCTGGTTCACAGAGGTAACGGAGCTTGCCGAAGACCAGGTATTCACTGGGAATCCATTGAAGTGTTGGGGGAGAGTAGGGGAAACTGGCAGAGGAATGATGTAGATTCCCTCGGGATTTTCCATTTTCCGAGGGGGTACAGGGGGCATTGGAGCGGGAGAGACTTTAGGCTTGGAGGGAATTACTTTATTTCTCTTCTTACACTTGGTTTTTCTTTAACTTTTGGGATCCCAGAGCCCTTCTAGCCTCTTTGTCCGCTCATTTCTTTCTGCTGAGATTATCCCAAATTGTCACTAAGTGCTGTGGAAGATAGACAACTGTAAACCCTTTGTTTCCTAGGGAAACACAGCTTGTCAAGGGTTGCGTGAAGGATACTTCAGTTGTATTAGTCACTTTCTCCTTTTTTTCCTCTGCGTTTTTTAAGTGCAATAACATAGCACTTAATCACCTTCCATAGTCTCTTACTTCTGAGTAAAACCTGCCGGTTTGTTTTCATGTGTCACTTCAGGACAATTTAGTCAGCAACTGAATGAATGATGAATCATTATTGTGTACTAATTGCTTGCATTCATTCTCCTGAAAGCTTTGCTTATTGTTAAAGAGTGAAGCTTCTTCCCACCTTTTTATCTCCTTACTATTTTACAATATTTATATTTTAAATGTTGCTTGGATCAGCAAGCATTATAGTATTAAAATTATCAAGACTTACTACTTTTTAAAGCACATTTTGTAGGTTATCTGATTGTATCTTCATTCTAATTTCTACATAGTTTTAAACCCCATTTTATACTTTAGGAAACAGAAGCTTAGAGAAATTAAGTAATTGCCCAGTATCACACAGCTGTTAAATGTTACTATCCACATTTGAACTCAGATTTATTAGAGTCCAAAACCTGAGCCCTAACAGGAACCTCCTCATTTGTCTTATTGCAAATGGAATGAATCAGCTAAAATCCTCAGAATCCAAAAAATAAAATTAGCATGTAAAAATGAATGCAAGGCCTAATCTTTGACTGTGTATGCCATTGTAATGAGCAAAAATACTTATGCTAGTTTATAGCATTTTTGGAATCCTTGTTATCTGTGTAGCCATTTTAGGATACATGTGTATCCACACCATTACCTACATTTTGTCATTATAAAGTAATTTAAGTCCTTGCCTGGGATTTGTTGAGCGAAACTTCAACTTTGAGACCATATAGAATCTATAGATATATCTGTAGAAACTAAATACCAATATTTGAACATTAAAGAAATATTAACCTACTTCATTTTACATAGTTTATAAAGAAATTGTAGATCTAGCATTGTGTACCATGATGTACTCCCTTGAGGGAGCATATTTTGAGAGACAGGGCAGTGAACATACATAACCAGGTGTTACAGTCAGTTATGCAAACCAGATTCAGAGAGAGGAAACAACAGTATATTCAAAGATAAAAGTTTCAGAAAAGTGGTCTCTCACAGGTTTATCCCTTGATCTAACCCACTCAGTAGAAGTTGGGTTTCTTTTGTCAGAAATTAGACTGAGAAGTGCAGCTTTTTTCTCTATAGGCCACCAAATGGCTGTTGTGAACCATTGCCAGGGCAGTCAGAGGTACTGAATATTTTTAACCAAACTGAATCTCACCCACTGTGCATCTGCGTGTGTGTGTGAGGGTGTCGTATGTAACCAGACCATAGCTTTCCCTAGTGTGCTTATCCAGGAGTCAACTCTAGGTGTTCAGTAATTCATTCAGCAAACCTCCTACATGTCTGCCACTAGTAGCACAAATTATAGCACAATTTCCAGCCTCTAGAGACTGACAGTATAGTAAATGTAGTATTGTAATTAGCCATTTGATTTATTTTACTGGATACTAGATAATGTAGCCTTGTGCATGTGTGTGTGGCTTATTTGTTTGCTGTGATGGGGAATTGGAAGATGGGGAGTCACATGTTCTCTGCACTGTAATAGATCTCCCCACTCCCAGTAAAACTCTGACTCCACTGCCTGAGATACATGGTGTGCCAGGAGGTGTCTGAAACCACAGGATAAAACGTAGTTTCTATTCATGGAGCATACATTTTACTTGAAATCTTTTTTTGGAAAAGTTATTTTAACATTACATAGTTTAAACCATATTAAAATTAATATATTTATCTTCCAGTAGAACTTGTATGAATATTTAAAACTAAAGAAATTTACACTTGTGAAATTTTAGGAAATATTCTTGCCCTAGTTCAGCAAGGTGCCCATTATTTCTTCTCTGACTTTAGCAGACACTTTAGGGAAAAGCTCTCCCCTCAGGACATTTTACGTTTGTTTTATTTTGTTAAAGCACTTGAGCACTTGGCATTTTATTATACTCAGTTTCCATTGCACTCCCTCCAACCTTTTTTTCTTTTTTTTTTTTTACAGAATATATGTTCTTTTAAAACAGAAACATGCGGTATTTTCCCCTGGCACGGTGTATGTAGCACATCTCATATGTAGTCATTAAATACTTAGGGAATAACTGGCCTGGAAATATGAAAAAAATAAGCATACTAATAAATTTATACTTATAAGACAGTAAGTAACTATGGTAAAATAGATAAAGTGAGGATTTTGTGGGTAGGGCATTTTGAGTTGGGATTGAATGCTGGTGTGATTTGGCATAGCTAGCAGTGAAGAAGTGAAAGGAAACATAGACATAGGCTTTGCTTGGCTGGAAGAAGAGGGTACCTGTGTTTCCCTTTGTTTTGTTTTTTGGTCAAGGGCCCTGCCTATGATTAGGATTTCTAGGAAGTCAAATTTCAATTCAGCAAACGAGTGATTTGTTATAAACATCTGTTTGAAGAAGTTCATTTCTGGTGCTATGTGTTAGTCTGACAGGGAAAGAAGAGACATACGTGAGGGGCCTTCCCTCAGAAGCTCAGAAGTGAAGTGAATTAAGCCTGATGAGGTTTTTTGTCACCATTATTAGCAATATTTGTATTATGTGCTAAATAATTAATATATAGAATAATTGGAATTTAAGGAGAAAATTGAAGTGATTTCTGTATTATAAATACAGGAAATAGCTATACAGCTGATGATACTTTTCATAGTAATTTCAAATTAGGGTTGAAACAAAATAGTTGTTATTAAATGTAGAAGTTGAAAAGATACATCATTTAGAGCGTTGATCTATTTAGCAAACAATAAACATTTATTGTGATCTCGGTGATCATTGTAAGGTCTTTACATTAAATATTTAGTTGAATCTTATCTTTTACTTAAAGTTATTCTCTTTTTGCTTTACTAGTTAAACGAGAAGATTCATCACCGCTTTGATGGCTGCCTCACCACCTTCACAAACTGTTGCATCTCACGTTCCTTTTGCAGATTTGTGTTCAACTTTAGAACGAATACAGAAAAGTAGAGGACGTGCAGAAAAAATCAGACACTTCAGGGAATTTTTAGATTCTTGGAGAAAATTTCATGATGCTCTTCATAAGAACCAAAAAGATGTCACAGACTCTTTTTATCCAGCAATGAGACTAATTCTTCCTCAGCTAGAAAGAGAGAGAATGGCCTATGGAATTAAAGAAACTATGCTTGCTAAGCTTTATATTGAGTTGCTTAATTTACCTAGAGATGGAAAAGATGCCCTCAAACTTTTAAACTACAGAACACCCACTGGAACTCATGGAGATGCTGGAGACTTTGCATTGATTGCATATTTTGTGTTGAAGCCAAGATGTTTACAGAAAGGAAGTTTAACCATACAGCAAGTAAACGACCTTTTAGACTCAGTTGCCAGCAATAATTCTGCTAAAAGAAAAGACCTGATAAAAAAGAGCCTTCTTCAACTTATAACTCAGAGTTCAGCACTTGAGCAAAAGTGGCTTATACGGATGATCATAAAGGATTTAAAGCTTGGTGTTAGTCAGCAAACTATCTTATCTGTTTTTCATAATGATGCTGTTGAGTTGCATAATGTCACTACAGATCTGGAAAAAGTCTGTAGGCAACTGCATGATCCTTCTGTAGGACTCAGTGATATTTCTATCACTTTATTTTCTGCCTTTAAACCAATGCTAGCTGCTATTGCAGATATTGAGCACATTGAGAAGGATATGAAACATCAGAGTTTCTACATAGAAACCAAGCTAGATGGTGAACGTATGCAAATGCACAAAGATGGAGATGTATATAAATACTTCTCCCGAAATGGATATAACTATACTGATCAGTTTGGTGCTTCTCCTACTGAAGGTTCTCTTACCCCATTCATTCATAATGCATTCAAAACAGATATACAAATCTGTATTCTTGATGGTGAGATGATGGCCTATAATCCTAATACACAAACTTTCATGCAAAAGGGAATTAAGTTTGACATTAAAAGAATGGTAGAAGATTCTGATCTGCAAACTTGTTATTGTGTTTTTGATGTATTGATGGTTAATAATAAAAAACTAGGGCATGAGACTCTGAGAAAGAGGTATGAAATTCTTAGTAGTATTTTTACACCAATTCCAGGTAGAATAGAAATAGTGCAGAAAACACAAGCTCATACTAAGAATGAAGTAATTGATGCACTGAATGAAGCAATAGATAAAAGAGAAGAGGGAATCATGATAAAACAACCTCTATCCATCTACAAGCCAGACAAAAGAGGTGAAGGGTGGTTAAAAATTAAACCAGAGTATGTCACTGGACTAATGGATGAATTGGACATTTTAATTGTTGGAGGATATTGGGGTAAAGGATCACGGGGTGGAATGATGTCTCATTTTTTGTGTGCAGTAGCAGAGAAGCCCCCTCCTGGTGAGAAGCCATCTGTGTTTCATACTCTCTCTCGTGTTGGCTCTGGCTGCACCATGAAAGAACTGTATGATCTGGGTTTGAAATTGGCCAAGTATTGGAAGCCTTTTCATAAAAAAGCTCCACCAAGTAGCATTTTATGTGGAACAGAGAAGCCAGAAGTGTACATTGAACCTTGTAATTCTGTCATTGTTCAGATTAAGGCAGCAGAGATCGTACCCAGTGATATGTATAAAACTGGCTGCACCTTGCGTTTTCCACGAATTGAGAAGATAAGAGAAGACAAAGAGTGGCATGAGTGCATGACCCTGGACGACGTAGAACAACTTAGGGGGAAAGCATCTGGTAAGCTCGCATCTAAACACCTTTTTGTAGGTGGTGATGATGGACCACAAGAAAAAAAGCGAAAAGCTGCTCCAAAGATGAAGAAAGTTATTGGAATTATTGAGCACTTAAAAGCACCTAACCTTACTAACGTTAACAAAATTTCTAATATATTTGAAGATGTGGAGTTTTGTGTTATGAGTGGAACAGATAGCCAGCCAAAGCCTGACCTGGAGAACAGAATTGCAGAACTTGGTGGTTATATAGTGCAAAATCCAGGCCCAGACACATACTGTGTAATTGCAGGGTCTAAGAACATCAGAGTGAAAAACATAATTTTGTCAAATAAACATGATGTTGTCAAGCCTGCATGGCTTTTAGAATGTTTTAAGACCAAAAGCTTTGTGCCATGGCAGCCTCGCTTTATGATTCATATGTGCCCATCAACCAAAGAACATTTTGCGCGTGAATATGATTGCTATGGTGATAGTTATTTCGTTGATACAGACTTGAACCAACTGAAGGAAGTATTCTCAGGAATTAAAAATTCTTACGAGCAGACTCCTGAAGAAATGGCTTCTTTGATTGCTGATTTAGAATATCGATATTCCTGGGATTGCTCTCCTCTCAGTATGTTTCGACGCCACACCGTTTATTTGGACTTGTATGTTGTTATTAATGACCTGAGTACCAAAACTGAGGGGACAAGGTTAGCTATTAAAGCCTTGGAGCTTCGGTTTCATGGAGCAAAGGTAGTTTCTTGTTTAGCTGAGGGAGTGTCTCATGTAATCATTGGGGAAGATCATAGTCGTGTTGCAGATTTTAAAGCTTTTAGAAGAACTTTTAAGAGAAAGTTTAAAATCCTAAAAGAAAGTTGGGTAACTGATTCAATAGATAGGTGTGAATTACAAGAAGAAAACCAGTATTTGATTTAAAGCTAGGTTTCCTAGTGAGGAAAGCCTCTGATCTGGCAGACTCATTGCAGAAGGTGGTAATGATAAAATACTAAACTACATTGCATTTTTGTATCTTAAAAATCTATGCCTAAAAAGTATCATTAGATATAGGAAAACAATAATTTTAACTTTTAAGATTGAAAAGCCCAAAGCCAAGAAAGAAAAATTATCTTAAGAGTGTAGTAGTTGATCATTTTTTATGATTAAGGTGAAATAATTAAACAGTCTAAAGAAGAGGTGTTTTATAATATCCATATAGAAATAAGAATTTTTACTTCAAGATACTAATAAGCTACATTTAGAAACTTTTAAAGTCATGAAAAGCATTAACCTTCTAAACAGTATTTTCTAAAAAATCAAAAGTTTAATAATAGTTTTTATCTAATAAAAGCATTGCAAGGAAATAGGGTAGAATTGTTATAATTGGACTTGTAAAAATATGTCTTTTTACTCAGGGTTTAAAATGTCCCTTTTAAATGTGAAATGTAAACAAAATTGTTTTTTAAGGTTAAGGCCAAATGTAATAATAAAACCCTGTGAATGATGGTTTTAGCTAAATTAGAGGAAGTTGTATGAGACTTAATGATCTAAAAACTTAAAATTGAATTGGTTTGATTAAAAATAAAGCTTGCAATTTTAAAAGTAGCTTACATTTAATTTCTTGCGTTAAAAAGAACATGCTTTAAAGGAAGTATTTTTATGTGAATTTGCATTCCAGTATAAATAGTATTCACAAAAAAGAGATTTTTGTAGATTTTATCTATTGAATAGGTGTCACTATGGTATGCACATTGTAACTTTCATTAGAAATAAATTGCTTTGACTTTTAAAAATGACTTTTATAGTTAGTTTATTTAAAGTCAATATATATAGCATAATGTATGGATTTATATACCGAATTTTAGAATACAATCTATCTCATGACCATATTGAAATGTATGAAATTTGATCCATGAGATACTATGTGTGCATTATTTGAAAGTAATTGGAAATTTTATCCAAACCGTGGAACAAATGTGTGTGATTTTGTTATACTTCTTAATTTAAATAAAATGTTCAATGTACTATTAAAATAATTTCTTATGTTCTATTCTTTTTAAAACAATTCATAATAGTTGTATCACACAGAGTTTCTGGTGTCAGGAAAATTTTTTTTTTTTTTTTTTTTTTTAGGCAGACTCTTGCTTTTTTTTTTTTTTGAGACTGGGTCTCACTCTGTTGCCCAGGCTGAATTGCAGTGGTCCAATCCCGGCTCACTGCAACTTCCGCCTCCCAGGTTCACACCATTCTTCCGCCTCAGCCTCCCGAGTAGCTGGGACTACAGGCGCCTGCCACCACGCCCGGCTAATTTTTTGTATTTAGTAGAGACGGGATTTCACTCTATTAGCCAGGATGGTCTCAATCTCCAGACTTCGTGATCCGCCCGCCTCAGCCTCCCAAGGTGCTGGGATTACAGTTGTGAGCCACCGCGCCTGACCCGGTGTCAGTAAAATTTTTGACTGGTGCCAATCTATTTCCTCTTTAAAAGCCTTTGTATTTCACATTACCAATGAGCTGTATTAAAAATTTTAAACTTAACGTACAAAATAAATATTTAGTGTAACACATTATAAAGCAAAGTGTAGGCTTCATTTAATCAGCTTTCCTCAACGAATTTTGAAAATATTTACAATTCACTAAAATATAGCTCCATCATTTTCAATTGTTGTGCAATAGTTCATTGCCCTGTAATGTAGCCCATTATTGTTCAAATTTTACACTTTTTCACCGTGCCACCCACACCTTTTTTTTCCTTTACTTTTTTTTTTTTTTTTTTTCCTGACAGAGTCTCACTCTGTTGCCCAGGCTGGAGTGCAGTGGTGGGATCTTGGCCCACTGCAGCCTCCACCTCCTAAGTTCAAGCTATTCTCCCACCTCAGCCTCCCGAATAGCTGGGATTACAGGCGCCACTAGAATAAAGTACATGAATAAAGGCACTAGGTCAACTATTTGCAGGATAAATATTCTGAAGCCAACTGAAAAACACACTTGGCTCTTAATTCTCCAAGGCTATGGTTTCTTGCCAGAAAACAAGACAGCAGATTTACCAAGAACTCCACCCTATTCTATATCTGTGATGACTTAGAAGTAACCTCAAGGAGTTCATTTCAGGCTGATGGCAACTTCTTTGAAAGTCAGCCTTATACTCATGTGTTTGATCTGGGATCTACGTGAACAGGGTGGCTTTGGCCCCTTGGAATTCCCACTTTGGGGAAAATATATTGTGTTTAAAATGTTTAGCATGGAATTCTTTGAGCCCTAGAGTCTATCCTATAAACAACACTACAATTCACTTTAATTCAATAAAATAAGTTCTTACTCTCATTAGTAGCCCTTTGGGTAAAAAGAGGGATAAAGTAATCCCTGCCCTCAAAGAACTCACAGTGTATTGACAGATAAAGATAATTTGAATACAAAAGGTAAGTGTATTCCTAGTTAAAGGAATGATGGATTGTCCTGGAAAGTCATATGGTGTAGGGGAAAGAGCACAAACTTTAGAATCAAGTCATTCGGGGCTCAATTACAGTTCAGCCACCAATTATCTGTTACTTTGAGCAATCACAACTTCTTTGAAACTTAGTTTCTCAAGTTTCAAATGCAAATGACACCTGTCTTACCAGAATGTTTGAGGACAGAAACATAGCTCCCAGCACATACTAAGGACTCTAGATTTTACCTGCTATTCTTACACACACCCAGGTTAGTAAGTGAGTAACTGGGGGAAAATGAGTTTTCATCGGGCATAGTGGTATGGAAGGTTTTTCCTGGCGGAGGAGAGATTATAAATAGAGCCATAGGGGATACAAAAGTGTGTGGAGATATTTGTAAAGCATTGAGATTTAGGGGTGAGGGAGAGAGACAGGTTAAAGTAGGCTAGGGTAGATTTTGAAAGGTCTGAAATGCCACACTACAGAATAGGGACTGTATCCTGTGCTCAAGATAAATGCATAAAGAATTGTAAGCAAGATATTTTAGCCTCTCGTGTAGGGCTTTTTTTTTTTTTTTAAATTTCATTTTTTTGTTTATTAGACCATTTTCTTAAAGTATGATAAACATACAAGAGGCAGTACATATTTGAAGTATACAACTTGATGAGTTTGGAGTTAAGTATACACCTTGTGAGACCACCACATTCAGGCCATAAAGTTATCCGTTAGCTTCAAAAGTTATCTTCTTCCCCAGTATTTATTGACCGAGTCCCCACCGTGCCTTCTGTTACTTAATGATACACAAATATGAGTGCCTCTTGAATTCTAGGCTTTGTCCTAGTCTCGGACAAACAACAGTAATCAAAGTGGGCAGAAATTCCTGCCTTCGTTGAGTTTACATTTTAGTGGAAAAGAGAGGAAAGAGAAAAATTCATGTTTCCTTCTCTCTCTGACTCTCCCTCTTTGGAGGCTATTGCCCTCAGCATTTCAAACCCACGTATTTTCTGGCTGATGCTTCTTTTCACACATGAGCATTTCTAAGAATTGTCTAAACTTCTAGTTTCACTTTCTGGCTTTTCACTCTTAAAATTACATATATAATGTTCTAACAAAGTCTTTGACCTCTTCACTGATACACCCCATAAATGTTAAGAGCTTGTTGGGTGTTCCATTAAAGGAACACAGGCACTTACATAGCGTTCACCAGGAAGAAACGATAATCATGTTCTGAAGTTATGTATTTGGAGTGAACATTGAAGGAAGAAGACAATCCACCCAACTAGTCAGCTAGATGAACCAAATAAGCATTAGTAATTCTGACTGATAGACATCATGGAGAGGTTGTCTTAGATGGAACATATGCTTCCTTTGATATTTGAAAAATTTTGGAGCATAGAAAAAACATGGAAGCCTTCCAAAATCATTTATTAGGGCTTAGTAATCTTTATATCTCCCTCTATCAAAAATAGCATAGAATGTGGAGCGACCAGAACTTTCATATGTTGCTAGTGGGAACATGCAATGGTGCCACTTTGGAAAACTGGTAATTTTTAAAGTGATATACCTACTCTGAGACTCTTAAACATGTGATTTGCTCATCTTACTCTGAGTTAATTGTACTTCAAAAAATTATTTAAATAAATATTTGAAACAACTATTGATTGTATAGTTACATATATAAAACATCCCAATAATGCAATTTTAATTAATATTGCAGTTAGAAGAACAAGAAAATATTTCCAGTATTTTAAGAAATGTGAGGATAATACAATATTAAATATATATTATGGCATGTGGCTGTATTAATAGATTAAATGCGGCAATAAAAAATTGGTATATGAAATTCAAAAGCTTTTAAGCAATAAAAACAAAAATAATTTAAATAAAAAAGGGAGTATTTAAGGACAAAAATATCATTCAGCACTATGAATTCCTGAAATTCATACTCTATATAATTTAAGGGAGTAAGGTACATTCTTTTCTTTATGACTCTAACAGGGGTTTCTACAATTATTGGAGCAAGACTTTTGGGGTTTCTGAAACTAAATTACCAAAAGAAGTGTATTGATTTTTTTTCCATTTCATTCTGTTAATTATTTCCTTTCTGCTGGAAAGTTGGCATTGTTAGTAGCTGTAGGGGATGCTGGGAGTTATGTAATTTAGTCGTAAGTAACAACAAGCTATTTATAGTGTGTCTGGCTTTGGGGTAGAGCATCATTTTTCAACAGATAGTTTGGGAATCTCAAGGTGTACAAAGATGTTTCCATATAAAGTTAGTAATGATTTTAATATATTTGGCTTTTTATATAAATTGATAAATAACTAAAGTTTCCTTTAAAATTGAGTAAGCTGAAAGCCTCTGAGTAGGAATTCAGTAAGCACTTGCAATAGTTGAGGATGACAAGTGGCGAATGACTCATTTACTGAATCATTTCATCATTCAGCAGAACATCCCATGCTGACAAAGAGGTTATGGCCATTATTCAGTTTTGAATTGTTTTTATTCCTAATCATATACAACTTAATTTGTCTCATAATGTATCTTTAATAAAAGAAGGAAAAATAAGGTACATTAAGATAACACAAGTTAATGAAGAGCAGGAACATAAGAATATTACAAAAACATATCGAGATAATTGTAACCAGATTACTAAATTTTATTCACCTGATCAAAATTCCTATATATCATATCAAATTTTTCCTAGCAGTTCCAAAAGCAATATTACACAAAGGAGAAACTATGTTGGTAATCATATCCAGTTTACCTTTTACTTGTTAATAATAGAACACTATTCATAACCTCAATGTATTTATTTGTACAGTTGTGTTTGCAAAGAACTCCAAACATTCTCTTTTTCTAGCCACTTAGAGAAAATCCATGACCATTTTCAAAAATCTAATCCACTTGACTTTTTGGAAGTCCAATTTGCAAAAATTAAAAATCAGAAAATTCAAGTATTTTAATATATTCTTGGCGCTGAAACATATAGTTAATTTTTAGCATATATTTAAATATGCAAGGGGATACAGTATGCTATTTTATAATTTTTCCAACAAATCATGGCTACTTTCATAATTTATTTAAAGAGAATTCAACTGAATTTACTTATTAAAGAAACAAAAATTGGACTTACGAATATTGTTCCAGTTACTATTATTACACAGCAAGTGGATCGAAAATTTAGTGGTATAAAAAGACATTTTAATTATGGTCAGGTATTAAGTTTGTTCACAGTAGGTATATCTTACATGGTTCTATTATGTCTGGGGACTTAGCTGGGTGTAACTTTCTTCTCATCTCTTGCTGGCTTTGAAGACGTGACAGAACATGGATCTCATGGCCTCTAAGAATTGTTCAAGCAACAGTCATGAGAGTAGGGAAGTGATAGTCCCCTAGTTTATCCTTCAGAAGAGAAAGCAACAGTAGAAAACTAATGTAGATTTTTAGTCCAAGAAGTGGGGTGCTGCTTAACAAATACCTAAAAAGTGACTTGGGAAAAGAGTAAACGGTAGAGTCAGAAGAAAAATTGAGGTGAATAACACAAGAAGTGTAAGTTACTGAGCAGATTGTTATTAGAAGCCTGGATTTCAAGGTCACTGGCAGT